CCACTCTCCACCTACCACCAACTTCACAGGTTTTCGTGGCCAACACAAGAAACCAGTTTCCTCCAAACAGAAACCAAATAGGGAAAAGAGAGACTAAAGGAGTCAGGAGGAGTCCGAGGCTGATTGCTCTGAAGCCTAAACGAATCAGTCCAAAGGGACCAGACACTTCCCACAGGACCGGAACATGGTTTGATTTGAGAGTTACTGGTTTTGATTCGATTGGAGGCAGTTTACTAGTGATGGTGTTGTTGTTGACGTCCAACTGAAGTGGATTTGACCGTTGGTTCCAGACAACGAAAGAACCAAGAGTCAATCCAACTGCAACTGCATTGAATGTTCTTGGCGAAAAATGTTTGAGTCTCAGCGGGTTGAAGGAGAGCTTAAACGGGCGAAATCCAGCTCTGGGAAACATTCTTCTCTGCAATATTTACTTATTGACAACTATTTCAAGCGGATTTGTCGAATTATTCAAAACAGTTTTTTACAGTTTAGTACCAGATTTTTGGTCCTTTTTGAATTTCTATTCTTGGAAAACATGGAGTTCGTATCGCCACAACTTGCAAGATTTTGCGAACAAAAGATGAGTGAGGTGGGTGCTGTTGTCCACTGCCGCCGGTTTCGTGTTGACACTAGAAGCAACGCAAGTAACTTACGCGACGTCCTTTTTACCTGAATAGACAGAAGGCAAGCGCCTCGGGACTCCTGTTGCTAATAATACCGATAATACGACCTGCACCCTCCAACCTCCGCAGCAAATCATTATGGCACTGAACCAAAAAGAGAGTTTTTGTGTTGCGAAAAGAAACTTTGCATCTCAAGGGATTTCTACATGCTCGATTCCACGAAACCCACCACCCAGCATAGCGGAACTTGAGGCGTGGTCATGGAATACTTCAAGAGCAAGCAGTGTCAAGAATCAATCCGACACCATCAAGAAAGATTCTGAGAACGAGCTCGCTTGTTCTGATGAAACGCTTATTGAACCCGTTACGACAGATTCAAAACCCAACGTCAAAAAGCGCTGGACGATTTGGGTTTTTTTAATCAGGGTTTGGTACCTTTTTATAAGAAAACAAGCTGCGAATTGATATAATTTTATTTTGTAAATATGTTCAATATTAATAAATCTTCTTTTTTTTATTTTTAATAAATAATACCAAATGTTTGCTCGAACAAAACTACCACTCCAACAGCAACGGGTTCAGACGATCGCAAGCCTTTTTGCATTCAATGCGTCTGTAACGCCAGTGAGAACGCTGGTGATAACATCTATGGACAAGTGGAAGGACTGCAAGTCGTACATGCAGCTCGATGATAAGACAAAGGCAAAGCTAGTTCCAAAGCCGCGAGGTAGAGATTTTTCTTTTCACTGGAGGCGAACTTGTTATTGGAAACAAGTCGGGTGTTTCATGTAGCTTTGCGACAGAACGTTTACATCTCGACAATATAATACCTCAATTCTAATCCCTATGTCCAACTTTTCAAATAGATGGAGTATCAACACCGAAGGAGTTTCTCTCAAAGATTGGACGAGGCTGTGGAGACGTGAGCGAAAAGTTCAAGTCATGGGACCACTTATTCCAGGCAACGAGTGAGGAAATGGCAGATTCTCTGGCTATTCCAGTGAGGAAGCGAAAGTATATTTTGCAGTGGCGGGAGTGGTTTAAGCGGGGTTTGGAGTTGAGAGCAATCGAGTTGCCTGAAAGGAGTAAGAAGCATTTGAGAGTTAAGAAGCAAGTCGAACTGTTGAGATTGAAGAAGCAAGGTCTCGCATGAGCAGGGTTGAAGCTCTGAGAAGCATGATTAATGTATCGATGGATTCTTTTCATGCCTGAATAATGAGGAATAAACTTAAAATCAACTCTCTGTTTGCTACATTCGATTCCTTCTTTTTATTCACCAAATCGTACGTGTCACCTGCCACCCATCCCCACCACACCAAGCCATCACATCAGCCATCGAATGACTGCAGATGCTTCGTTAGAAGACATCCTCTCTCGCCGTTCCCTAACATGTCTTCACCCAATCTCCTGACTAACATCTCCTGACAAACTCTTAGAAACTAGCCAAAGATGGGTCGTATGCATGCTCCAGGAAAGGGTATCTCCTCCAGTGCCCTCCCATACCGTCGCACTCCAGCCTCCTGGGTCAAGACCACTCCAGAGGAAGTTATTGAGTCCATCTGCAAGGTACGAGTTGCTTGATCCAAATCCAAATCTTGTCTAACCCAACTCCCCCAATACAGCTTGCCAAGAAGGGTCTCACTCCTTCCCAGATCGGTGTTATCCTCAGAGACTCCCACGGAGTTGCTCAGGTCCGCTTCGTGACTGGTAACAAGATCTTGCGTATCCTCAAGTCCAATGGTCTCGGCCCAGAGCTCCCAGAAGATCTCTACCACTTGATCAAGAAGGCTGTCGCTGTCCGCAAGCACTTGGAGAAGTTCCGCAAGGACGCTGACTCCAAGTTCCGTTTGATTCTCATCGAGTCCCGTATCCACCGTTTGGCCCGTTACTACAAGACTGCTGGTCAATTGGCTCCAAACTGGAAGTAGTGAGTATTCTTTTTTTGTTTGTTGTTCCTTAGCTGGGCTGCGCCCTTCTGCCTCTTTGCCTCCATGTGGCTTGTCTTAAGTGGAAGCGGGTGCAGAGAAGGAGTTTAAACTGTGGCGTGATTGCCCACCTCTTTGTTATGCCTCGAATCGCTTTGCTGAAGTGGTGATTTTGGAGGTCAATCGGAATATTGAGAACTCAGAACGGTGATTCGTTCTGATGAACTCTGCTTTCGTTGAAAATCCAACACATCATCTTCCACTTGACAATTATGGCTGCAGCGCGTTGTTTGGTGGCCCCGTGGCAAATGGGAAGAGGTTCTCTGGCTGTTATTCATCGTGACTCTCTTCCAATCGCAAACAGTTTGTTGATTGGAACAGATGTATGTTGAGATGAACTTGGCAGAGAATTTGTTCCTGTTTCAGGCCCGACCAACAAGCGTTTACAATAATATGGACAGTGCTTTGTGGCTTTATTTGTCTTCAAGGAGATTTTGTTTCCTTGTTGGCTTGTTTTGCTCTGCTCTCGTCGTCATTTTGTTTGTGATGTTAATTATTCTCTTTTCTCTTCCTCTTTGGAAAAAATAGCGAGGCTGCCACTGCCTCTACTCTCGTCGCCTAAGTATCTTGGGTGCCTTGTGACTTGGATGTTGGGTCATTGTTCGCGTTATCTGATCTTTTCGTTGTTGTATTCTGTCAAGAATAAAATTAATGGATAGACTCAGCTCGGCTACTGTTTTGACAAAATAATATGACAATTTTGTGATGGAATGAATTTATTCTCAGTTTACATCACTATAACACTGGCCAACACTGCAGCAAAAGCGCCCAATAAAACACCCTTCGAAGCAGCTGCACTTCCGATAATATTTCCCTTGGTCGTGGTTTTCGAAGCCGTTGGCACAACGGTCTGAATATAAGTGCCTGACGCACTTTGTGCAACTGTTGCAGGACAGCCGATACCAGTCTGTAACGCGACCAATGCCTTGTATGAAGTACCCCAAGCACTTTCAGGATCACTAGCACACGTAGCCTTGAAATTCGACGCCGACAAGGCACAAATGCAATCCTTTGGTGGAGCAGAGTTGGAACAAGTCCATTGCGATTTCCCCAACCCAGAGATGGACGCCGAGCAAGCAGACGAAACCTTGACAGATCCCGAAGCAACACAACCTTGACCTTGCGACAACGTAGCGTTGAGGTAAAACAGGTTCCACGTCGCGTCATCTTTGGCACAAGCGTTTGCAATGGTGGATGGAGTCACGTTGTTACAGAAACACGCATCGTTTGTCTTGTCGGTTTTATCCCGACATACATCGCCTTGCATGGCCACGTCATTGAAAGCAGCTTGACATTGTGTAGACCAGATAGGAGTCGTGCAGACTTTGTCTTGGTACGAAAGAGTAGCGTCATAGACATTTTTCCACACATTCGGAGAGTCAGCGGCACAAGCTTTCTGAATGAAGGACGCAGGGTAGATGCACATGCAATTTGGAATCCATGGGGTAGTGGCACATGCATTCTGTGCCTGCTCGAGAGCATCGAGAGCAGTCATGCACTGGAGTGAAATGCTGGCTTTGGTTGATGACGTGCAACCCTCAGTCTGCTTGAGGACTTGGAACACGTTGTAGAGACCCCAGGAGGCATCATCGTTGGCACATTGAGTTGCAATGATTGAAGGGGTGAGGTAGTTGCAGAAGCAGGCGTCGTTGGTTTTGTCGGTTTTGGCGTTGCAAACGTCACCTTGTTCGGCTACTTTGTTGAGGGCCGATTGGCATTGGGTGCTAAAGGCGGACGCAGTTTGAAGCAAAGCAAGAGCGGTAATGAGAATGTGATTCATGTTAAGTGTATGGATCAGCGAAAAGAGGCAGCCGCTTTTATAGGTTTTTTAAAGAGCCAGCCACAAATGTTTCTAATGAGTTCGACAAGGACTAAAAAGGTACAAAAAAGCAATCAAAATGAGTCAGTTGAACACTTTAAATATTGATTGATTACACAAAAAGCGGCAATGGATTCAAGGTTCGTCTATTATTCTTCAGAGCTCTAATATATGTGATGGATGCTATTCCAGTCGGTATCGATCAAACTCATACTATGGTTGATACTTACAGTGGCACCGTCCTTCACTTGTTTTATTTTCATCATTTCGACTTCCTATGTAATTTCAACGGTGAAGATGCAGCAAAATGCAGGCGTTCCTAAATGTAAAGCAGTTAAAGTTACATGGTGCTGACTTGAATAATAGGAATTCCTTGCCTGCGTTGCCTACCTCTGATTCAAACTGAAATCCTTTCATTGTATTCATATGCAAACATTAGGGACCGGCCACACCAATCGCAGCACAGGGCTTCATTCATAGCTGGTTCACTTAAACCTATTCTTCAGTCAGTAGGAAAATTAAATTGCCAAATTTTATTTTTCAAATACAAATTAACGTCTATGGCTGGCAGCAGGTCGTATGGCGAAGTGGTAACGCGTTGCCCTCCGGAGGCAAAGGTCTTGGGTTCAATCCCCAATACGATCGCTACTGCATCACGTGGCTCATTTTTCGATCATTCAAACAGGGATTCCCGTCCGGACATCAGAATAGAAGTGCATAATCGCTCCTTTATTTTGCAATTGCCTTAAGGGCAGCTGCATTCTGAGTCCCTGTTTCATTCACCATTGCTGCAAAAATACTGACAGCAGACCCATCGTGTCCGTCACGCCCCAACAATACAGCAGGAGAGTCAAACTCTGCCACTTCCCCATTGTCAAGCACCAAAATTCTATCCGAGTCTATAACAGTGTTGAGACGATGTGCGATCTTTTTGCAAAATTGTGACAATAGTGATTTTTTACTGGTTTTGGCGGAATACTTGAAAAAACAAAATCAAAAAAACTCACTGTGAAAATAGTTGCATCCTTCATTGTCTCCCGAAGCGTCTTTTGGATTTGATGGTCTGTTTCCAAATCCACATTCGCAGTACTTTGAAAAAAAAAACGTGGGTCAATGTTTGGTAGTTTGGTTGCAACAACAAGAAAACAAAAACACGAGTACCATTCATCCAACACAACGACTGCAGACCGCCTCAAAATAGCACGCGCCAAACACATCAACTGCCTCTGTCCCACACTCAAATTATCACCCCCAGCATTCACTGCAGCGTCAAGCCCACCTTCCATCTCCACCACAGCCTCCTTCAACCCACTTGCCTCCAACGCGGACCAGAGCTCCTGATCATCATGCTCTAGAAATGGATCCAAATTCAATCGAACTGTTCCCGAGAATAGTATCGGGTCTTGTGGGATAATTGAAAGCCGTGATCTCAAGTCTTTGAGGCCCATGGATAACGTGGGGATTCCATCGATTATGATTTGTCCAGATTCGGGTTCTACCATTCGAAAGAGTGATAGCATGAGCGATGATTTTCCGCTGCCCGTTCGACCAACGACACCAATCTGAGGATGAGGAGGAGGAGGAGGAGGAGGAGACAATCAGAAACCATACTCCAAAAAAAAAACCCAAGAAAATTCCCTAAAAAACCTTTTCATGACTCCTTGTCAAAATCGACACATTTTTCAAGACGAGCGGCAACCCAGGCTGATACCTCATGCAAACATTTTGGAATTCAACGACACCAGCATGTGGCCAATGGGCAGGAGGCCGATGACTTTCAATCACACCAGCAGCTTCGGTTTCGACTTTGGTTGCGTAATGATGCATTCTTTCAATGCTCACAAGTTGCACCTCGACTTCAGTGTATTGGCGAATACACATTTGAAGCAATTGTGTCGTTTGAAGGACATAGGAAAGGGCTAGACCTAATAAAGCCGGTGATATGGTCGTCTAGCAAAAAAAAAAAAAAAAAAAAAAAAAAAAAAAAAAAAAAAAAAAAAACATTCAAGAATGAAATGCTGGAAAAAGAATGGAGAGAGACAACACTCACCCGAGAAGCAACACCAAAAATCGATGTCGCCAAAACAAGCGCATTCCCAATATATTCCAATCGCATCCCCAACCATCGAGCACCCAACTGCTGTAAATAATACGGTTTATTGTTTTGATCAATCAAGGCGTCCGTTTTCTTCAAGAATCGCGTTTGCTCGCGATACGCTCGGATTGTGTTGACCCCAGTCATACTTTCGTTGATGTGCGAATATAAAGGAGACTTGGGGTTGGAAAGCGTTAAAAAATTGAATCATGCAAAATGACTGATATAAACTCAACTCTAGTCAAAGCATCCAATCGTTTCAATTCTCTCGCCGTCGCCCGGTACATTGCTTGCACGTAATAATAAGCCGCCATCAATGGAACCAACGCCAACAAAAACCATCCACTCGTTGCATATGTCACCAAACAAAAAGTACTAACAGCCATCCCAAACGAAATAAAAAACATGCGTACAGCATCGGGAAGCGTGTTATCAATCACATCTTGATCTCGACTGAATCGATTCAAAACTCTCCCCAACGGATTCGTATCAAAGAAGGAACTCGGCGTGTGTATGATTCGACCGAGTGCGTCTTGATGTAATGATTTGGCCGCGACTGTGCCGCCAACAGCAACCAACATGGAGAAGACAATGATTGCTACGGCTTGGAATAACCCAAGCCCAAAGTATGTCCACATGTATTCCGCATTCCCTAGCCCTGCGATTCCATGATTCGCCCAATAGACAAGCCACAAGTCCGTTGCGATTCGAGAAGACTGGGCAAGTACGAGGATAAACAATAGAAGCGTGACTACAGGCCAACCACCCATAGCCACCGCAAACGAGAGAAACACTGATGTTTTGACCGCGCCGGTTTCCCGGTCTTCGGCGGTGACCAGTTCTTTTCCAGTGCCTGTACCAGACTTTTCCTTGATGATTTCGGCACCTTCCTTGGTCGTCGCTGTCGCTGCGAGTGGTTTCAAAGCAGAAATTTTGTCGTCCTTCTCTTCTTCTTTGGCTGCTGACGTCTTTTCATTGTCATCGTCGGTTACTCCTCCATAGCTAACCATCAGTTTCGAAAACTCTCCATCTGCAGCCATCAATTCAGCATAGGTGCCATACTCTGAAATCGCTCCATCTTTCATTGTAATGACAATATCACACTGCGGAACGAAATGGAGCTACAAGAGTTTTAACATTTCATAAACCGTCACAAAAGAGTAAAAAAAAATGGATATCATACCTGATGTGTAACAAGCAACCGCGTCTTTGTCTTCAACGCCCCCGAAATACATTCATTGAAAATAAACTTTCCAACATGCGCATCCACCGCACTCAACACATCATCCAACAAGACAATCTCACTATTAAAGTAAACCAACCTCGCCAGACTAACCCGCTGCTTCTGTCCCCCTGATAGATTAATCCCTCGTTCCCCAATCTCAGCCATATCCCCGCCACTCAGAACCTCCAAATCCCGTCGCAATGCACATACTTGTATCGCGCGGTCATACCGTTCTTGATCAAACGGTAACCCAAACAGGATATTATCACGGAGACTCGCATTCATGATCCACACCTGCTGCGGAACGTATCCAACAGATCCATTGAAAGTGACAGAGGCTTTGGGGTGCGCTGGTTTCAGTTGTCCACAGATTGCGCTGAGTAAAGATGATTTCCCACTTCCAACGGATCCAACAATGGCAACGAGCGAGCCTTGTGGAATCGAGATATTTATTCCTTTTAGAGTTAGTGATGGCTTGTCGTTTTCGTTGACGTTCAGATCTTGCAGCAAGAGCGCGTTTGAGTCTTCACCCAACAACATCTTAGAGTCCCCACCGCCACCACCACTTTTTGCGACAGCAGCGACATCATCAGACTTGACAAACGCAACTTGAGATTGATCAACCCCAACACCTTGCTCCGTCTCCAAAACCTCCCACAAGAAATCCCCGTTTTCAACTACAACTGCAGATTCACAATTCGCGTCTAGCAGTGGCTCGAATTTGTTTTCTTCACTCAGGAGGAGCGCTTGGATACGTGAGACTGCAACGCGAGCGTCGGCCCATGATCCAACCATTTGTGGAACCCACATTAACGCTTTGAAAAGATAAAAAAAAACATTTTCAAAAAGCCCAAGTTACGCCGGTGTTAGCATGAAAAATTCCCAAAATCAGGGTATAACAGAAATAAAAGGAACTCACGTCCACGGAGCTGATTAAACAGCGCAAGAACCGTAAACACAACAGTCGGATCAAACACGGGACTCATTACAGAATAAACCATTAACGTGGCGACCGCAGCCATCACTGGGATCCCAAATGCCGACGCTGTTACTACAGCACGCACCAAATTCCCAGATACAACTGCCTTGAGTTCTTCTAACCGGATCTTGATGATGCGCTCCAAGAAGGAATCTTCCCATCTATGTCGGATGTGTGTGGTTGGTTTAAGTAAACGAAACACACACTGATCTTCAACACCACCAAAAAAAAAAGGGGCGTGGGCCAAAGAGATAAGAAAAAAAGGCATCACAAACTATTCCCCCCCTAATCCCCAACGCTACTACTCACGCAAAGAACTTGACAACCCGAATCGAACTAAAAGTCTCCGCCGTCAACCGAATCCGTTGATCTGTCGTCTTGGCATTCGATTTCCGCAGATTCACCAAGACTCTGGTAACCCAGATTTGAAACGGCACCATGCATAGCAACAGCGCGATTCCAGCTAGCGCGGGGGTTCCAATCACGTGGATTAGTAACGCGAGGACGATTATGATTTGCACGGGGAATGTCCATTGGAGGTGGAAGAGGACGATGAATAGTTCGGTTCGAATTAGATCTAAGGGGGGTGAAAAGTGTATTATGTTAAGTTTGTTTGTTTTTTTGGACTGATTGAAACAAGAAAAGAAACGAAAAATAAAAAATAAAAAAAGAAATAAAAAGAAATAAAAAATAAGAGAGAAAAGAGTATACCTGTCGATATGATATTCGTGATATGCCCCGGATTAAACTTTTGCCGCGCCGCTCCCGACAGTCTCAACGATTTCCTATAGATTGCAGCAGTCAAGGCCCCACGAATCGACATTCCATATGCATTCGCACGAGAGAAAAAGAATTGAATGCTCGTGCTCGCCACCATATTCATCAAGAACATTGAAAGCGCGTAAATGATTCCCAGGTATAATGGCGGGGGGTCGGCGCTTGTTGAGGATTGAATGTAGGCAATGATTACTTGTAGGAGGAGTGGCGCGCCGCTGTTTAAAACATCTGCCACGAATTTAAGCTGGGTTGGGGTTTGGGCAAAAGAAAAAAGTGGGGTGTCAAATGATTTCAAACCCAAAAGAGGGATACAAACATACCAAACCAATTGGGAAAAACCCACGTCCAAACATTTCCACCAGAATCGCAGTTGTTGAAGGCGGTTGTGGCTGCTTGTCTTTGGGCATCTTCAATTCCCTTCCGTCGAATGCTGCCTTCTCTTGATTGAACTTGTCCAGTTTCAATGCCCACTTTGCTTCGAATTCGTCCGCGAGTTTAGATACATTATATCGAGGCGCAAGCGGGAACAGATCGTCCATCGTGAGCGTGTTTTTGAAGCCATAGCTGAA